TATATATATATATATATATAGCTCTCACTGAAATACATTTCCAAATATTTTGCTTTTATGGCTCTCTTAGTCAAAAAGGTTCAGATTAGGTTATTATCAAATGGGTTGAAAGGGGACCATATCTGTACCATTTTGTTCAATGGAAAACAACAGTGACTGCCATCTTGGATCGCCCGAGGAAACGTTTCGGTGATTTTTGTTCCCATTCAGTATTTTGGTGAATTTGACGACATTTATCGTGGGATTGTTTGTCAGACATTCTGTTGACTGGGTACATGGAAGTGTCACAAAGTGTCACAAAGCCGCTTTGGTGAATGGCTCAATTTTCAACCCGTCAAAATGATGGACGCCCTTAAATTTTCCCCGTCCACTCTTAAAAAAAAATCCGTCAATGATGGAAAATTGTCCGCTAATGTAACCTCTTCAGGAACAGAAATATAAATGATGTAAATGTTTATCCAGTCTTGTTTAACTTAGATTTTGTTCCAAAAGACAGGCTTTGTTATCAGAAATCACCCCTCCTCCTCCCGAGTCCTCACAAATAAAAGATGAAATCTCGGGTTTGCTCCGGGCTCGGGCCTGCAAATCAAGTTAAGTGATCGGGCTCATGCACCCTTTGTGGCTTCCGTTCTCGCCGAAATTTCGAAATTTCAGAGATATGGCGAGGCCATGAGAATGCGAGGCGAGGGTATTACTGTTGTGGCGACGCCACTCGAGCTAGTCCACTGCTCTCTACAATGCGTACGCAAGTGCGTCTTTTGATTTCAACCAATAAGCGCCGACGCAACGACGTCACGCACCAACGTCACACACAACAACAGCTAAGCTAAGCCAGCTGAGACGACACTCGAAGTCGGACGGACACGTTTTTCTGCCAATCTGTGTTTCCCTTTTTGTCCAAATATATTTTTTATGACAACTGTCTTGTCCACGGTGTCTTTTATTCGTTCCACTAGGGTTTAACAAGTGTGTTTATAAAGAGACGAAAATCTCTTTACTGTTACTAGTGTTAGTGTCTCAACATGGCTACGCTCGTGAAAGCAAAACAAC